GTGTTGGAATACAAAAAGATTGAATGAAAGTATTTTTGAAAAAGAATTAAAGTTACTATTACTATTTTTTGAGATGTTGAAATAAAAAGACTTTCAATGAGAATATAAAAAGATACATAGCATATCACATAGTACCACTTGAATTTTACTTTTTAATTTTATTTGTAATGAATATATTTTTTTTTCGACACATTACTTATATTTATCACTTACCTAATGGGGAAAAAAATGTTTGAAAAAACATTTTTTTTAAGCATTTTTGAAAACGTTAAAAAACATTTAAAATAACGAGAAAAGTACTCTTTTTCCATTAAAAAACATTAATTCAAACGTTAAAAAAAACGTTTTTTTAATATTTTAAGAAAATGTTTTTTAATGTTAACGTTTTTTTTTGTCAAAAAAAATTTGTCAAAAATATTTTTGTAACGATAAAAATAACATTTAAAATAACAAGAAAAATCCCCTTTTTTTCATTAAAAAAACGTTTATTCAAACATTTAAAGAAATGCTTTCTTAATGTTAAAAAAACATTTTTTTAATGTTAAAATTATTTGAACAAAATTTAGAAAAAATATTGTACAACGCAGAATCTTTTTTTTTAATTTATTTTTTTTTATCGACAACACTTATAATTTTGGACAAGCAATTTTATTAATTAATTGTAATTTTTAATTATATTTTTACTTTTTTTACTTACTGGATTTTGAACTTGAGATCTCAAGATTATGAGTCTCCATATCTATTATACTACTTATAATTGTTGATGGACACAGTTTTTATTGTGCATAAATAGTACACTTAACATAATAATATTAGGTTAACTTCTCTTCTGTGATTATTTTTCTATTTTGACTCATTTTTTATTAATTTGAATTTTAGAAAATAATAAAATTTTTTAACATTTATGTTAAATGTCAGATAAATGTTAAATAAATCTTTTTTTAATTATATTTTAGATAAATAAATTACGTAAATCAAACATTCAAAAAACCGTTTTTTCAAAACATATTTCAATCGACAACTTAATGTAAGACAAATTAAACGTTTAAGAATGTTCCTTCGAATCGTTATTTCAAACAAAAAATTAATGTAAAACGGACATTTAATAAACGTTAAAGAAAATCTTATTTTGAATCATAAAACGTAAAATTCATAACAAATAAATATTTAAAAAAACATTTAAAACTTTTAAACATTAAATAAATGTTCAAAAGTGAAAACGAATCGTGAAATGTAAAATTAATGAAAAATAAACGTTTAAAAAACATTTCCTCTCAATTAAAGCATGATGATCCAACATGAAATAAATGTTTAGAAAGTGTTTCTTCAAGCCATTATCTTAAATGAACAATTTTGATGAAAAAACAAATATTTAATAAATGTTAAATAAATATTTAAAAAATATTTCTTTCAAACATTATTTCAAATGAATAATTAATGTAAAATGAATGTTTAATTAACGTTAAACAAACATTTAAAAAATATTTCTTCAGAACATTATTGCATTCATTGTAAACAAAAAATTAATGTTAAATTAACATTTAATAAACGTTAAATAAATATTTAATAAATGTTCTTTCGAAATATTCCCACACAACAATGGAAACCTTTGGGATATACTGAAATCATCGCGGATATACGAAATATATATCAATATTTTTAAGATATCATCAATTTATCTGGAGACACTGCTAGTGTCTCGGCACTAAGGCACACCGTGGCTACTTTACGCGAGACCGCGAGTTGAGGAGGATTGAGATTATCAAATCTCAATAACAGTTGAACTGATCAGGATCTACATATGTTCAATCGATAGATCATCTACTCAAATTGTGTAATAAAAGTGCTTTTATTTTTTTCCTACGTGCCCTACGAAGAGATATTGCGACGCAAAATCCCGATGTGAAAGTTTTCACATATAGGTTTAAGATACGTCATCGTTATTATTGTCATCGTCGTCGTCAATCAGAATGTAATGGACGTTTTGGCGCGAAAGTGCGTAGTGTATGATCGATGCAATGCAACAAGTGCTGGTGATGCAAAGTGCATAGTAAACGAAATTATACGCTAGTATTTATTAACTTTTGTTAATAACTAGCTAGGAAATGATAATGAAAAAGTAATTATTTATAGTTATCAATCTTTATTTGTTTATAAATTAAGGCATAACAAAAGGAGATCGAATGTGTAAGAAATATAATCTCACATCGTGATTGATGCGCCACTTATGCTATTCAGCGCTCCTCTTAAACTCGTCATTTCGATGGCTCCTCAACGACGGCTTATGCCGTTAAATAACAGACGCTGTCGACTTTTATTCCGATCATAGAAATGATAAGATCATTGTATTGATTATTTCAAATGAATAATTAATGTAAAATGAATGTTTAATTAACGTTAAAAAAATGTTTCTTTAAAACATCATTGTAAACAAAAAATTAATGTTAAATTAACATTTAATAAACATTAAATAAATATTTAATAAATGTTCTTTCGAAACATTCCTTTATTGAATTAAATCAGTTTTATCCGATAAATCTTTGACCACTTAATTGTAAATAATTAGAACAAGATTAATCGTTGCCTTCTAAAAAATCCTTCTAAAAACGTTCGCAAATCAAAGGATTTTTCAAATGGAAATAAATTATACATTGGTAATTGTTAACTAAATTAGGAAATGATGAAAGCAATTTATTCTATAACGATTTCCATTTGTTTATAATTTAATATTTAACAAAAGGAAATCAAACGAAAATAATAATAATAAAGCAATTTATTCGATTTCCATTTATAACTTAATATTTAACAAAAGGAGATCGGAGGGAAATGAAATTATGTGATATTTATTAACTACATCTGATATTTATTTATTAATTACAAAGGAATCTCTCGAGATGTCAAATCTTGAGTTTAATGAAACTTTGAACTTGTAACTCACATAAAGAGATGAATTTAGAAAATATCAGTTGGGGCGGAAAAACAGTTTGAAGAGATGAAATCACCCCTTACGTGTAGTAGCGATTTTTACCTTTTACCGTTATATCTCGAAAACTATTCGAGATATTAAAAAATGTTTTATACAAAAGTTTTATAACAAAATTAGTTGTATTTATTCACGTCAATAATATTTTTTTTAAATAATTATTTTTTTAAATTTTCGAAAAAATTCTTAAATAATTATTTTCAAAAAATATTATTGGCGTATAAATAGAGGTAATTTTATTGTAAAACTTTTGTGTGAATATTTTTTTATATCTTGAACAGTTTTCAAGATATAGAGAAGAAAGTTTAAAATCGCTTTATACATGAGGCTTGATTTTACCTTTTAAATTGTACATTGGCAACAATTTTCTTGAACTTTCTAAAACAATTATTATTTTTTAAAATATTTATGAGAGATAGAGGTAATTTTATTATAAAGCTATTTGTAAATAGATTTCTACCACAAAAAAATGATAATGTGCTATCATTTCTATCTATCATGAGGTAGATAGCATGGTGCGCTTTTTTTACAATGGTTTCCCCAGTAGGCCTATTTCTCTCATTCTTTTATGCAAGAATTATTCCAAATGCCGTCTTTCCTCCCTTGAATACTTTGGGACATGTTATTTAAAAAAATATGTTTAAAAAGATATATTATTATTATTATTACATAAAAATATATTCGTGCAAGTAATATTTAAAAATACTAAACTTACTAAAATATTGTAAAATTGATAATATATGTGCAACATCCTTCTCCTTATTTTCCTCAATATATCATTAATTTAATACTGCAGTTAAATAACTTAACTCGAGAAGATGTTTTAATTTGATTCTAATTTATTTCCTTACATACGTTAATACGAATGTTGCTTATGTTGAAATTAACTACAGAAATAGATTGATTAATATTTTGATACACATGAAAGTAAGAAGATAATAAAATGTTATTTAACTCAAGGAACAGGGTTGCCATTGCTCCTTTGACATCTAACAGTGATGAGTTACAATATACCATATATTTTCTATAATATATACCCTGCTGCAAATTCCTAGGGAATTTTCCTATGGGTTTGCCTAACCTAATGGTAAATTCGACAGGTCCCCATGGGAGAAGGCTCCTATCTTGCTATAAATTCCCAAGAGTTTTTTCATGGATTCCTATAGAAGGGCTGTGCACAATGAAAGGAATAGAGAACAGGAAAGAATAAGAATTTTAACTTATCAGAAACTGTATATTCCATAATACATGATTTCAGGTAAGTTGAAATTCTTATTCTCTGTTTTTTGTTCTCTATTCCTTTCATTGTGCGCAGCCCCTAAAATTCTGTAGGAGCTTGTATGTAAACAATTGATGACAACAGAGAGAGAAAAATATCAGGGCGCTTTTCGTCTCAAACTCAGACCTGGTCTCTCCTCCAAGTTGATAAACTTTTGTCCTGCCATTGAACTACACAACTCTGAGCTTCTCTATTGTGCTTATTTCCTCTAAATTTCTTACAGGTATCTATAGGATTTACGCAGCATGTATATATAGGATAACATAGGAAATTTTTCTACAAGATTTTACATAGTAATCTATGGCATCAGTTCATGAAAAGAGGCTCCTACAGGATCGCATGGAAAAAAGAATAATGTGTATGTTGATGCAATCGAACTTAAATGATAAACAGGATGTCTCGAGTTTATTTTTCGAGTCAGCGACTTAGAATTATAACCAATAGAAATACAAGATTAATTACGTGATAGTTTGCGATTATCTCGTATATAAGAAAAAATAGTAAATCTCGTAAAGCGAGATAGATATAGGTTGATACAAGAGTTTGTTACAAGAGCAAGAAACAATCTAATGCAGAAATAGAAAACAGATAAACGTCACAATGATATAATACAGTTATATAAATAAATATACTATTATTTGTTGTATTTTCGCTCATAACTTAACAACACATTTGCATTGCATGTTAAGAAGTTTTATGAATCTATCAGCCGAATCTATCAGCCGAATTATCTAAAATTCAGTTCCTCTCGATTTTCAAATATCGTATTATGTCCGATACAATTCTGAGATTCGCTCGCGTTTTAGTAAATTTTACTCTTTTATACAATCCACATATATGAATCTGTAGTCTATACAAACATATTGAGTCAATGGATAGCAATCATCGACAAACATCAAGTATGATCGATCAATTAGAATTGGCAATCAGAGTCGGCAATCGAGTTGGCTTATGTTACGTGCCATGTCACTTTTGTTAACGTTACGTTTTTAACATAAAATTTTTCTATACTTTTGTTCCTAAACATTTCTGATAAATCTTGTTTCCTGTTACTTTTCTTATTTGCTTTTATCTATTGTTTTTAGTCCTTTTTTTATCTATCCTTAAGACCCGTCTCGAATATTCAGTCTTATAGATATCTTATGACTCAATCCCTAAGGGATTCTTGAGTCATCGACAATTACATATCTCAGTTTCTTTTATCCCTATCACGTATATTTTTATTCGAAAATATCACGTTATTAGTTAAAATTTATCAGAATCTCTATCTCTTTTGTCATAGTGAAGATCCTTCTAGTTCGAATCAATCTGTTCTCATAAGTTGCGAATAATACATCTCCGATTTAGCTTGCCTGTATCAATATTGAATAAAGTTCGATCAAAAAAAGTTGTCAAATTTTTTAAATATTTTAAATATTATGTGCATCTCACTTGTAACACCTACAGAGGCTGTGTTCCAAAATTGATTGTCAGCGCAGATATGTCGTCATAAAAACATGCTGCTAACAGCGTTCCAATTTTAGTATGCAATTGATATGAATTGATGCGAATATACATTTCAAATTGGAACAATACTCGTCATCTTGGATGCTGTAGCTACCTCTCTCTTCAGCTGCAGCAAAAAATGATGATAAAATTAGTGATGTCTTTACTCTCTCGCAGCACTATCACAGTATGTGTTGATAATGCTGCCAGCGCTGGCAAACAATTTTGTAACATAGCCAGAGTCGGTAGTCTGATAGGACCTTTAAGCTGTAATCACACTACAAACTTCCGACTCTGAGGGGCTTTGCACAATAAAAGGAACAGAGAACAGAGAACAGAAAATAAGAATTTCAACCTATCAGAAATTATGTATTCCACAATACATGATTTCTAATAGGTTAAAATTCTTATTCTCAATTTGGCCAAACCACGTCTACTTTTGCTTCGCATCGTCTGTAAGTGCGCAGTCTACCAACCGTGAAACGCGAAATATGGGGCGGTATTCATAGTCTATTTTTATTTTAAAACCATCTTAAATATAATTTCTTAAGATGTTAACAGTCCTCGGATTGACTTACGACATCTTAAGATTGACTTAAGACAGTCTTAAATGTAAGAATCAACTTTTCTCACATAAGAAAAGATTCAGTACCAACTTCATAATGCGAAACTGGTTGGTATTCATATGCCTGTATTCATAGTCAAACCTTGTACTTAAGGCTTCCTTAAATTTATCTTCAGATGCTCAGCATTCAATGAAATAATTCGTAGAGTATGTAAAGAAATTTAAGAAAGCCTTAAATATAAGGCCTGACTATGAACACGAGTAATAATCAATTCTTACATTTAAGACTTAAATCAATCTTATGTCATAAATCAATCTGAGGATCTAGCAAACAAGAATAGATTGAAATGAATTGAAATGGAATTCAGATTTTCAGAAATATTGATTTCACGAATGTTAAAATGAATGCTTTTCAATTCTGAATGCATTTTTATTCATTTATAGGAATTGCATGGAGCATATCTCTATGCCTTTCAATCTAAAAATAATATTAGTTTTTTCTGTGCACACAAACACAATTCTGAATATTATTCAATTCAAAATTTTAAATAGGAAATGCAGTTTTTCAATCCAATTGAATCCAATTAAATCCAAAAAAAGTATTCGCTATTTAAAATACGCATTCGGATAGAAAAAAAAATTTCAATCCATTTTAATCCATTCTCGTTTACTGGATATGAATACAGCCACATGTTTCGCGTTTCACAGTTGTAAGCCTTGCGGAATGAGAAGCAAAAAAACGATAGAGCGCTAATTTTAGAGAGAGATGCTTGTAAACTGAACATACTATGTAATCTTTCCACCATGCTTTGAACTCACAGAGCAGAAAAATACAGTTCATATTGGTATAAATACAAGGATATGTTCATGATAACGCCAAATAACCAATAAGAATTGCAGCCTGACTATGTCACCATTACGCGATAAATTCAAACGGTTAAAAATGAAGTAAACCATAACGTCAATGTGCGTTCGGAATTACGCACAAAGCGCATCATTTATTCTTATTGATTAGTGAAGAATAAAAAAGAATAAAATGATACCTCATGCGCTTCGTATGTAATTCGGAACATACCAAAGGATAAATCAAAAAGGATCTTATGAGAATGATGAATAATAAGTATAAATTTGAGACGTCAAAATAATAATAAATAACTAATTTTCATGAGAGAACACACAGAATTTTCACAATTCGCATGTAGCCATGCGTTACAACGCAATAAAGTGGCTCCAGACCTCTGACAGCCATATTTTAACTGGGCCAAAGTGCTCCGAACACATGTTTACCGAGATTGCACGAATGTGATGTTGGCAGACTGCTGCGCAGAAGCCTTCTAAACTCATCCACCGGATGAGCATAATCTTATATTTATACATGGCACCTACAGTTTAATGTCGATTCCAAACGACGAAATTTTTGTTTAGAGAAGTGTTCTTGGCAAGAATACTATCGGTGAGCTGCCGCTTCCTTTTGAGAAAACGAATATATGAAAATATTTTGGTTTTACTGGAAATCGAACCCGGAATCTCTAGCATAGACCAGTGCGCTGTCTACTTTGCCACACTCGCTCTCATATGTAAAGAAATGAATTACTATAAAATATTAACATCAGAGATGTTACATATCAAAACGCAAAAAAAAAAGTTTAAATCTCTAAAATATGTTCGTATTCGATATTGTTTGCTGATAACACCGATAATCAATAAAATTTATATATAATTTAGAGATCTTGGGTAATTAAAATAAAATTCTGATTATCGATAATAGTTATTCGTAATCGAAATAATTTCAAATAATTTTCATCATCAGTAATGATTATTTGCAATCGAAAATAATTTTAATTATTTATAATGGTTATTCGTAAACAAAAACAATTTCCATCATCAGTAATGGTTATTCGTAATCAAAACATTCTCCGACATTAGTAATAGTTATTCGCAACTGAAAATAATTTTAATTATTTATAATTAATTATTTATAATGCATATTTGTAACCAGAATCACTTTAAGAGAAATATAATTGATATGCTGTAACTTTTTTTATTTTGGTTATAACAATTATGGTGTCTGATAGAAATTCTTACCTTATTGGTCAAGATCTCGAGAGAGTGACGTGTGTGCGTGCGTGCATACATGTGTGTATGTGTTTTGACACACTCATAATACATTTAAATTTATCTACAATAGTGTTTATGAAAATGCTGAAACGATCCTAAATATGGGATCATTGTGATGAATCCGAGAATGGATTTGCTATTTATAAGCCCTGTATTGAACGATTCAAGACATACCTAAAGAATAATGTTAAATTGAAAAAATTATTTTTCTTTCGATGACTTTTTTAAGTTTTAAAATGGAAATACCTTTAAGAAAAGTAAAAATTTACTTGATTTCAAGAAACATTTAAATAAAAATGACATTTAAATAAAAAAAATTCTTCTTTAACCATAGAGCAAGTTCAAATTTCTTCAATAAAAAAATTGTTTTGATTGAAGAAATCGAGAATTATCAAGATTTATCAAAACTTTCAAGAATGTACATCTTCGAACAATATTCGAAATGTTTCGAAGCAGAACAATGACTAAATTGATTGAAAATTCGCAAGAGATATGATTAAATACCCATCACTAATTATTATATAGTGCGGTAAAAGTATCGATTAGGGGACCAAGCTTCAATGATCTTGACATATGTTGTCAAGGTTATGACTCTGAGCGACCTCCAACAAGTTTTAACCGTTGCTCGTCCTTTATTAAGAAATTATTAACAAAAAAATTTTTTAAATAATGTATATGATATCCCTTTTCCACTATATAAAACAGAAATTTTCTGTTTTAAAGTATATTTTACAATTTTTCACGCGAAGCGAGAGAGTAAAGCAGAAAAAAATTTTCTGTTCTAAGAATAAAAATTATATAAGAAAATATGAATGTCATGCGCCCTCTAAGCAGAGAGGGGGGGGGGGGGGGGAGGTAGAATGAGAGTCGCTTCGCGTGGAAAGTTGTAAAATATACTTTAAGGCTTTTTCATGCTCGACGCTCATTTTTAGCGTCAAAACAAGTCACGTAATCAGAATTGCTTGGTATTCAATTTTGATTGTGACCTGTTTAACGCTCGAATCGAGCATCGAGCATCAGCATAAAAATGCTTTAAGCAGAAAATTTCTATTTTATATGATCGAAAAAGGATATCATATACATTATTTCTTAAATTTTTTTTGTTAATAACTTTTTAAGGACGAGTGACGGTTAAAACTTGTTGGAGGTCATTCAAGGTCATGACCTTGACAACATATACCAAGGTCAAGGTCATTGGAGCTTGGTCCCCTAATCGATACTTTTATCTACTTTTATTTATCTTAATGCTACTATTTTATAAAATACAGAAAACGTTTATTGGACGGAATTAATGATATTAACAATGTCACAAAATTCATTGATATTAGCAATTCACTCTATTTTCTTTTCCCCATTTCCGCATAACACGTATTATCTGTTCTACCTGAGAATTGGATGTATTTTTCAGAATCTGTATCACTTCAGATAGCAGTTCTCTGTGTAACGAAAAAGAAAATTGACAAATTAATCTCCGATACAATGATTTTATACAAATGTACGATATGTAAAACATACTTTGGTAACTTCTCCGCAATAATATACTGAAAAGTACCACAGCATGCGCCACGCTTTCCTTCCCAATGTTCAGGACTTGGATCCATTCGCTCCAACATATCGAAGGCTTTAGCAGCATACCAGAATTCGCCTACTTTATAACACACGTTAGCAATCAATTGAAGCAAATTGAAAGACTCCTCTGATGTGTCCATCTTCAAATACAGTTCCCAAGCCAATTCGGCCTTTTCATTCATTATATCTAAGAAAAGCAAACAATTGTAAATTATATTATTACTATGATAATTATTTGACAAAAATTATAACAAAATATTAGAAAGTATGTTGGTTAGTATTTTGGATGTCAATCAATTAGATTGATTGATTGATTCTTGAAACTGGACCGCATATTAGTATATCTACAATAATCTACATATATGTATATGAGTCAATAAATTATAACCTCAGAGTTTATCGACTCTCGATAATGGTTTTATCGATTAAGTTTTGAGTGGTCTCAATCGATAGCTTTTAATTATATAATAAGTGTTTTTGTTTTTTTTTATGTACTCTATGAGAGATATTGTTATTACTTACAACAATATGATAAAAGACTGATGTAAATGTAATCGTTTTTATATTTTTCATTACGTATCATCAGAAAAACTTCCTCCGCTTCTTTGAAATAGCCCGCCCCAGCTTGTGCCTGAGCGTAGTTAAAATTAAAATTATCTTGATTAGAGAAATATGTCTTTATCGAATTCAGATATAATCTGACGCGCTCGAATTGTCGGTAAAGGAAGAAAAAGGAGGCCATGCATTGTCTACCAGGTATGGTATCACACTCCGATGCTGAAGAACCCACTAATTGAAAGTATTGCTGTGCAGTTTTTATACTGTCGCGCTAAAGAAATTTAGCAATTCAGAAATTTTTCAATAAAACTAAAAGATAAATAATTTAATGACATACAGAATTAGTTTCCTGACCCATAACAGCGTTAACTATACCCTTTAAAATATATTCTTGTGGAACTGCTGGTTCTAGATCTTTGATCAGATCATAAGCTGCCTTGATGTCATCTTGTTTCAAATAATATATTACTAAATTAAGTCTGGCTTCTGGTATAACGTCTACCAAATTGGGTAAAATTTGCAAAGCGTTTTCACCACCTCTGAAGACCTACATAAAGAGAGAATAAAAATAGGAAAAGTAAAACATATTAAAGTAACTCCAGTATGTACGCCATATCTAATAAAAACTTAATCTATCAAGTATTATTTATTATGGAGTATTATTTATTTTAAGGTAAATAAACTATGTCAGTATCTCGATTTTGTAACTTTTAATGATAATATTGATTGTTATATTGTTGCATAGATATTATACATGGTAAAAAAGCTGTGCAACAACATAACGATACCAAATTGTCGTTAAAAGTTACAGAATTAGGACACAGTAAAAATTTCGTATTGTTTATTATGAAAAAAAATTAGAAATCCAAATACTTATTTTTTGTGTAAAAAACACTTTTGAAACTCTTACATTTTTGTCGTACATCCCACAAATGGAATATATGGTTACTCATAGATGAGCTTAGGAAAAATTTATGAATAATACTTAAAATGGCACAAACTTATAAAATATACTTACAAAATTTTATTAAAGAATAAGAATAATATATATGTATACATATATATTAGAGAGAAAAGAGTTTTCTTTCCAAGAAAAAAATTTTTTTTTAATCGGTCATTTAGCTCAAAAGCTTCCATTTCGTGCCAAAAGAACACCCTTAAATTTTTATCAAAAAATAAGGTTTAGTTAGTGAACGATTTTTAAATCAAAGTTTCGATTTTCTTTAATACATGTTTGATTTGATATAAAAATGACTTAATTCGGATTTCAAACATGGTACTATGTAAATATGGTGTATTTTTTTGATCACTGAACATGATGCAATAGTTAATTTAATCTTACGATATACGTCTTAAAAAATATAGCCTGATTAATGTGAAAAAATGACCAAATTTCAAGTTCAAGATCGATTTTAGCAAAGTTTCAAGCATTCGAATAGCATTCATTACTTCCCTCAAATTATAGGTTTGTTCATCCAAAACAAGATCCAGTTGAAGTTTTTCCGGGACCTATATAGGGCCTCTAAAATTAGCATTTAACTGGATCATAAGACGTTTTTAAGGATAGAAAAATTTTTTTTCTATCCATAAAAAAGTTCTAAAGTCGCTTTGTGATTTTTTGACATCCTCAAATCAAATGCTTCAATTTAATGATAAAAAATTCTTTATTAGAAAATGAAATAAGTATATATAATACAAA